AAAATCTAATTATATACAATTTCCAGATAAATCTTTTCAGGTCCACTTTAGGATAGATAGGACTCATTTTAATTACCAACATTAAATGGCAGAGAAACACTATAGGCTTTTGAGATTTTTATAAAGAAGGTTGAAGGGGTGAAATGCCATAAATGACATCATTGGACCAACTGATAAAATTGGAACATGGATGTAGATCAGAAGGAAACATATATCAGTGTTAAATTTTTATTTTGATAGATACATTCTGATGATGTATAAAAAGATCTTTATTCTTAGAAATGAAAGTAAAGTTTTTACCAATATAGATAGTAAAACGCCATGATGTAGTCAACCACCTTTGGGTCAGCTCAGAGAAGCGACAGAGGTATAAATGAAAGCACAATTGGCAAAAATGTTGATAAGTGGTAACAGATATATGAGTGCTTCTACTATTTCTAAGACCTTTCTGTAGGTTTAAAATTATTTTCAAAGACCTTTCTTTCTTTTTTTTTTTTACTTGTACAATGAAGATACAAATAGTAGCCAATACCTAGTCATTTCTTCTTCCAGAATCCTGCCTGGATTTATCAGCAGCAATGAAAAATTCACTAAATAAAATAGAGCAAAAATAAATTTTAAAGGCATAACAAGTACTGGCAACATTAGGTCTAAAAAATTTGTTAAGAATTTAAACATATGAAAGCTAGAATACAGTGGAATTTTTCCAGAAAACTCACTCTTCTTTTCACATGCATTTGCACCCTCAGGTACTGAAGGGCAAGGGACAGAGTAACCACAGAGCGTGCAAAAGGCAGAGAATGAGTCAAAATGGAAGACACCTTTAAGTGGTATTTTGACCCTGTTTTTTAGCTATACCATTTTTTTTTAAAAGCATAATAACTGGAAGACAACATATACTGGTGAAGGCTCGTTCAATCAAAATGCTAATATGCATGTGCCAAGTTTTGTGTTTATTTGGACTATGGCAAAGAATTGTGCAGAGGGAGATGGCTCAAATCCACCAGCTGCTCTGAGGGAGAAAAATGGGCAATCTCATCCCAAGCGCTTTATGTCCTGGGAAAACTCACTGGAGGAATATCTCGGAGTCATTTCTGACTCGATGGCATGCAACAACAACAATATATAACAGTATTTGCTGGTTTTTCTAGGTATATAATTTAATAATGTCAATTCCATTGCATTGTGCAACCTCTACCCATAATCATTGCCAAAAATCCTACCACCATATGTAAGCCCTTGCTGCTTCCTAAACAAGGGGCTTTAAGTACATGTAACTACTTTTTTATGTTGTTAGGTGCCATTAAGTTGACCAGGAATCACAGTGACACCATGAACAGATTGGAACACTTTGGCTAATATTTATTGTTGTTGTTATGTGCCAGGCACCATGTGCCTTAAATTAGTGAAAAACAGATGGGCAGTCTTTTCCATCTATGATTTTATAGTTTTATAAACATTATATAAATGTTATCCACACTAATCCATTTAACTTTCACAACTCAATGTTGCTGTTATTATATGCCATCCCGTTAGTTGCCTTCAACACACATTGGCCCTATGAACAATAGCTCTGACTCCCACCCTGCCCTGAGTCAGTCTCACAGCGACCTCCATTACTCCAGTTACTATGCCAATCCATCTCATGTGGAGGTCCTTCCCTCCTGCACTGTCCTCCACTCTTTCAAGCATGATGCCCTTCTTTAACCACTGGCCCCTCCTGGCAACATGCCCAAAGTATTTTGAGGAGCCTCAAAATCCATGCCTTTAAGAAGCAAATCAGTTTCACCTTCTCTAGGACAGACCTATTTGTTCTCTTACTCTTCTCCAGCACCACAACTCAAAGGCATCGCTTTTTCTCTTGTCATCCTTAGTCACTGTCCAGCTTGTAACAATTGCAAAGACCATGGCCTGAATCAGACACACCTTAGTCTCAACACTGACACTGTTGCTCTTCAGCACTCTGGAGAAATCCCTGACAGCAGATTTTCCTACTGCAATTCAGCTTTTTATTTTCTGATTGCTGGTGCCAAGAGTGTTGATTGTAAAGCCAAGCAAGATGAAACTGTTAACAATTTCAATCTCTTCTCCATCTATTATGGCATTGCCAATTTGCCCAGAGGTGAGAATCTTTGTCTTATTAATGTTGAGTTTCAATCCATATTGGAGACTTCTGCAACAAATGCTTCAGGTCCTCCTCAGTTTCGACAAGCAAAGTTGTGTCATCTGCATAATGCAGCTTGTTGATGAGTCTTCCTCCAATCCTGATGCCACATTCCTTCTCATAAAGTCCAGTCTTCTGAGTGATCTGTTCTGCATACAGATTGAAAAGGTGTGAAGACAAGGTGCATCCCTGACACACTCCTTCCCTGATCCTGAACTATACTGTGCTTTCTTGCTCTGTTATAATGAAGTATAGTTTTAGCATGGGTACCATTAAGTGTTCTAGAACTCTCATTTTTCTCAAGGTTAGCCACAATTTGTTTTCAGCCAAGATCCATTTGGCATTGCTATGATGTCCCTACTGCTGCAGCCTCTTCTAAACCCAGTTTGCATTTCTGGCTTGCTAAACATTGGAGAAATGAGATGGACTAACATGGAACATTTTGAATCAGACGATCATATAATCTACTACGTCGGAAAGGAAAAGATGAGGAAAACCAGGGTTTTAGTCATAGTGAAAAAGACCATTTCTAGATCCATCTTGAAATAGAACTTTGTTATCAATAGAGTAATATCCATACACATACAAGGAAGACTTGTTAATATCACTATCATTCAAATATATGCAACAACAACCAGAGCCAAAGAGGAGGAAATATATACTTTCTACTAAATCTTGCAGTTGGAAATCAATTACACATGCAAGCAAGATGCATTAATAATAATAATGGGTTATAGGAATGCAGAAGTTGGGAGCAGGGAAGAAGGATCAATAGTTGAAAAATATGGACTTGGTGACAAGAGGGTGGAGATAGAATAATGACATTTTATACAATCAATGATTTATTCATTGCCTTTTATAAGAAATATATCGGGCAACTATACACATGGACTTCACCTGATAGCTTACACAGGAATCATGCTGATTGCATGAGTAGAAAGAATCATTGGAAGAGCTCAATATCAGCTGTGGAAAAAAACTAGGCTAGGTGATGATTATGGAAGAGACCCATAACCACTCAAACACAATTTCAAACTGAAGCTAAAGAAAATGAAATCAAATCCACTAGAACCAAATTTGACCTTGAGTCTATCCCATCTAAATTTAAAAACTATCTCAGGAAGAGGCTTGAGGAATTGAACACTAATGAAGAAAGACTGAATGAGCTGAGGGAGGATATCAAGAATGCCATCCAGAACAACCTAAGTGCCCATCAACAAACGAATGGCTAGAGAAGCTGTGGTATATTCGCACAATGGAATACTATGCTGCATTAAAAAATAAGGAACTCATGCA